TGCGCCCGTCCAGATTGGGCTCGTTCTAAAGCCTGTACTCTCTTCTCCAAGTCAGTCTTTCCTTGTCTTCAAACTTAATAAATGTTTATTACAGGCAAAACTGTAACTTGGAGAGAATGGAAAAAAAGATCATGCCGTATATGGTTTTATCTTACTGCTCTGATACTATTTTCGACCAATTAGATTTTAATTATATATTATGTTTGAGTAATTGTTAATAACTTGCTTTACAATAAAATGCATTTAACAACGTAAACTTTTTTGTCTTTGAGGGACCACTAGATCAGTGGATTTTTAAAAAGCATGTGCTGCTTCAGAGGCTTGAATTTTTTTGTGAGCACTTAGACCGCGTTGTCTTGATAATACTGCCGTTGATAGTGCTGCACTTAAAATGCATCGCTACTGCCTTTTGCAGCACTTGTCATTTTTAAAGTAAATAAATAATCATTATCTCTTGCTGGATATGATTTTTTCCAAAGCATTAGCCAAACACTCTTATTAAATTGGGTTTAGGTAGTAGCATCGACAAATGTTGCCCTTAATTTGAACATATCAGAAGAGTAATTGTTTCCACCTACAGTTTGGTTGTATGTTTTATAGCTGTGTTAGGAAGTTCACGGGATACATGGGATATGGCATACACGGGATTGCACGGAACTTTGTGTATTCCGAGTTTCACAAAACTCATTATTAATGTTTTTCTGTCATCTAATAGACTCTTTAAACTATTTTTCTGTTATTTATATCAAAACTGTAGTGGACATTTATTTGTCCAACTCCTATTCCATACCCAGCTTGGTAGTGTAGACAGACACTCAGGGTATCGTGAGGAACAGACAGATGTTGCTCCTGTCACAGGACTGGCAGTCTTGGCAGGAATGCTCGGTTGAGTGAAATAGCTCATTGCAGCTATGGTGAGTGTGGGATCTGGAATAATCTGGGAACTCAGGGACGCTTTCCCTGAGGGGCGGCATTTGAACGGAAACCTGGAGAGTGCATCTGACCTTCAACCTGGTGATGGCCTGGTGAGCAGTAGGTACGGGTAACCTGGGCAGCAGGGCACAGCCCATGTATGTGTATGTGGGACTTGGGGAGAGGGCATGTGGGGCTGAAGAGCCAGCCAGCTGACCCTGAACAATGTGGAAGAGAAATAAAATTGGATAGCTACATGGAGACTGGATTGTACGACCTGTTAGGACTTGATCTCTAAGGGCAGTGTCAAACCATAAAGTATTTTAAACAGGGAAGTGATATAGTTTGGTTTGTATTTTGAAAAGAATATTCCTTCTGTTTTGTGCATAATGGAGTGAAAAGAAGCTACAGATAGTTCAGGAAGCCACTGCAGTAGTCCGCACACAAGATGATGCTAGCTTGCTTAGGGTAGTGGCAGTGGAGACAGAGGAAAGTTGACCAATGGGAGGAGGAGCAGAAGAAATAGATAAATCCTGGATGCATACACCTTTTGGTACATTCAAGGGATATATTCAAAAACCTCTTACTTTATTTTGTATGTTTACTTTTAGTAAATTAAATCAGTTGTATAGTTCTCCTTGATAGTCATTGCCTACTTCATCTTATTTACTATTGAAGGCTAATGTCCCTCTTCCTTAACTGTGTAGATCCTATTGAGTAGTTGCTTGACTTGCTTAGCTATTTATAATGCAATACTGATATATATAAAAGAATATATAAGACACCTTTAAGGTATAAATGAAAAAACCAGACACCTGCGATGTACTATCTCCTAAAGTTAGATAATTTTAGCCATGTTAGAAGTAATTCTGAAGAAATCCCAAATGATGATTCCTCTTAGAGGTTTCCTGACTAGCATCCATCAGTTGAAAGGAGAGGAAGGATAATGACTGTATTAAAAATGGCAATAATCCAACACCTAATGACCTTGAAAATGAAGAGAATGATGCCTAATGTATAAACAAAGAATGCTTTATGTAATGAGCTATGTAGATATATGATGTTAATACTCTTGTTATTAGAGCTTCACATTATAAATTAGTTCCTGTTGTAATCAGATTAGTAAAAAGGGTGGGAACAAAGAAAAGTGAGGGGCTAGTAAAAAGGGTCAGTCTCTAAAAGAAGAAAATTATCTTGTTAGAACTACCAAAACCAAAACTTTTTGGGAGAAGTTGGTGGAAGGAAAGAAGCTCAGTGGGTCAGAGGCACTGCTCCTTGAACTTTCCTTCTCACATTATCATGCTGGTCTATCTTTGAAACCATGTACAGTTACGGGTTATTTACAGTAATCTTAGATTCTCATCCCTGCCAGTGACTGTTGGGAAGTAAATGTAAAAAAAAGTGGTCCAATATTTGCATTTCCAAAACGAGTTTTCTTCTGCCACTTCCCTGATTTTATAAAAATTGTAATTCAAAAACTTTAAAAAATGTGTAATGTTTATACTTTAAAAATGATCTGTTTAGATTTGGGCGTTTGAGGTAGCTTTAATGATTGATAGTGTTTTACTTTTCAGTGGCTTTGTAGTAAAACTTAGCACCATGTTTCTCCATGTATAATGCACACCCATATTTTTGTGAGCATTATACACAGGTTTATTATACACATTGTATGTAATCATTATACCCGTGTGTAATGCACACCCTTATTTATCCCTCAAAAATTTGGGCAAAAAAACTGTGCATTATGCACAGCAAAATATAGTAACTCTTTGTAGGTAATGTGGAATCTGTCTATATTTATGAATATTTATATAAGGTACTTTTAATTTTGAAAATTTATTATTAAAAAAGAATGCTAATTAAATTTAATCTTGTATGGTTTTAATACTTTGAGTTATCCCTAAAATTCAAAATGCTTTCCTATAAAATAGGACCTTCTAGCCTTTAAAAAAAAGTTGACAAGCAGTTGACCTACAGTAGTATCTTATTAGTTTCAGGTAGACATCATAGTGACATGGTATTGATATATATGCATTAGAAATGATCCCCATGATGAGTCTATTTACCATCTGTCATTATACAAAGTTATGACAGTATTATCAATTATATTTCCTGTGTCATCCATTACATCCTCATGACTTACTAACTTTGTAACTGGAAGTTTGTACCTCATAGTCTCCTGTACCATTTTCTTCTGCCCCTCAACCCCTCAGCTCTGGTAACCAGCAGTTTGTTTCCTATACCTATAAGTCTATTTCTGTTTCATTTGTTTTGTTTTTTAGATTTCACATATAATTGAAATCATATGATATTTACCTTTTTCTGTTTGACTTATTTAATTTAGCATAATACTCTCTAAACCTATCTGTTATACAAATGGCAGGATTTCATTTTTTATGACTGAGTAGCCTTCCATTGTGTGTGTGTGTGTGTGTATGTGTGTGTGTGTATCACATATTATTTATTCATCTAAGAATGGACACTTAGCTTCCTTCCATATCTTGGCTATTGTAAATAATGCTGCATTGAACGTAGGGGTGCATATAACTCTTTGAATTAGTGTTTTCATTTTCTTTGAATGCTCTTCCAGTATTCAGTGGCAGCTTTATTAACATTAGCATTTTTGTACTAAATTGAAATATTTCTGACCTCAACCTGATTAGCATACTAAGATTGTTCTTCTAACTTGTTTTATAAATTTTTCCGGTAATGAGTAGTACAGTTCCATTCTCTTTCACCTAAATCCCTGAAGATTTTAGCAGTGATGTGTGCTTCCTGAAACTCAATTCAACGTGAAGGAAAGAATAGGGCTTTCCATTTTTTATAAGTTGTTGTTTGAAATCCAAAAGAACTCTCCTTAGACATTTCCTGATCTGCAGCCTCGGTGGAAGGGAAAGGGGAGAAGGATGAGGTTCATCAGTAGGGTGTTAAAAATGACAGTTGTGACCCGTTTCAATCCTAGATTCATGACTCTGTAATAGTAGGCAGGTTATACTTACCTTTTCTGGTACCCACTGTCTTCCCTTGGAAGATGATAATGATGGTACCTCCTCCATAGAGAGTTGGGTTTTTATAGAGGAAAAATACACGTAAGCACGTAGCATAATGGTTGGCACATGGAATGTGCTGAACAAATACTGATCTTCCTTTTTTATCATAATTTTTCAAATTCTGAAATAATTGGTAAATTAGTTCTAAGTCAGTTTTAAGAAAAGTATGGACACTATAAGAATTGTGCTTAAAATAGTGAATGTTTATTGATGTAAGTCAAAATAAATGGAAATGTTTTTAATCTCTATCGAATAAATGAGCTTAATTTATTTTCTTTGAACTGGGTGGGGCAGCCCAGGTGCGGTATGATAGCTCTTTCAGTCTTGGAGCCTCTTCCATGTTCGAATGGAAAGTGGGCTAAGTGAGCGTTCTGCTCATTTCTGATGCATGGTCTTCTGAGGTCACATTGACCTTAAATATTTTCCCAAATGCATTTTAGTGTACAGACATTAGTTCCAGTATTTTGTTTGTACAGTTAAATACATCAAGTTCAGCAGTTTAATGTGGGTGTGGCAGGAGAGATTGGAGAGATTGTGAAATGATTTTTAACTTCTATTAATCAAAATTTAACATCTGTAAAATCAAATAGTAGGTATATCACTTGAGTTTGTGAAGACTTAGCTGATTTTTAATAATTAATAAGTTTTTTCTGCCAATGAGCATTAGGTTACTGCTGACTTGTTACTGTCATGGTACCTTATGGTAGTTTCTCTGCAGGGTTTAAAGGTGTATCCCAGTTTGGGTTTTTTTTTTCCCATGTTCTGTACATAGGAAATTATCTTTATAAGGCTGTAGGGAGAATACCTCTAGAGGTGCATACATGCCATTAATATGTTATAAGGATCGGTCAGTCCCATTGTCTTCTTTTGTCAATCTTAATCGGAGCTTGCCGAGTAAGTCTGTAAGCCTGCTTGTGCCTGGCAACTGTTACCTAGTGACAGTTCAGCTGCAGTAGCCATTGGCTGTGCTGTTGATTGGGGCAGGAGGACCGAGTCACCTTTCTGATGGTGAGTTCTTCTGCATCAGCTCAGGACAAGGAGGAGGAGCTGGGCTCCGGCTCAGGTGGAGGCAGTGATGCTGAGAGACTGTGAAGAATATCTGACAGCATCCTGGGAACTGCATCACAGTGAGTCGGACTTCTGAATCGAGCAGCCCAGCCTAGCAACTGATAAGAGTGAATGTAGGTGAGAAGCACTGCCTTATTCCTGTAACAGGAGAACTGTTTTTTACAAGTGAAGCTGGGAATGTGCAAGGAGGAATATCTTGTGGCTGTTTTAAAAGAAGAAGGACTTCCCCGGATGACTTGGTGATGCACAAGAAAATAACTTTCAGAAGAGTGCCGCTGCATTGTTCCTGAGGAAATGTCTGTATTTTTAATGCATGGTCTTCCTTCAAAAGGTATGACAACAAAGGCTGACAAGCGACTCTCCGAAATGCCTGCACTTTAAAAGAGACTTTTGACAATGTTAACCTTACACCAGAACGACCTTGGAAGCCTTCTGGGTGGATTCTATCCTGCCAGCCTTTCAGTATTTTGGACTCTAGGATTTAAACTCATCTTGATCCGTTAGAGGTATTTTAAAACGAGACCATTTACAGCCCACCCAGTGGTCCCTGTGTTAATTGAGCACTTGCTCAAAATAGAACACAGAAATAGAAGAGACTTGTTTAAACATATGGCTGCTACATAACTGCAAAAATAACAAACAAGGTAATTTTCCACTTTCGGAAGATTTAGTTGAAGTAATGATTTAATGTGTTAATCGTCTAATGAAAATAGAGAAGGGAGAGCAGCATAGGTTGTGATGCCCACTAGAAATTCCCGAGGCATGCACAACGGCAGCGTTTCCAGTCAGACAGTTCCGGAGAAGACAGGAGAGTTCCTGTCATTGTCCGAATGTCCTCTAAATCCACAAAAATACGTGAGACATAGGTGTGGTTGCAAGGTAAACAATGGCTTTGAGCTGTGGGTGTTATGATCGTGCTTCATTGTAAGGAAGGTGGCATATCAGACAATGAAAGTTAATGATGCTGAGATCAATAGCAAAAATGATTTTTTTGAAAAGGAAGAAGTATAAATTACATTGTTGGTGGCAGCACCAGTAATTGTAATAGACTAAAAGTGTTTTCTTCTGAATGCTTTAAAAAATGCACACAGAATGAAAAGTTCACAAGTTTATCATATTTTGTCAGGTGTTAACCCATTTCATATTATCTTCCATACTGGAAATATTTTATTTTCTCATGAGCGCTGCATGGCAATCTGAACCTTTGTTCAGCTCCTTTGTGCCCAGATACAGACGAGTCTTTTGGAATTAACCTTTTGGGGGAAGGGGATGATGGTGGTGGTTCGTAGCTTTTTAAAGAAATGAGAGAGAAATGGGTCATAAAGTTGACCCACCAGCCTCCAAGCCTCAACTGAGCCCAAAGACATTCTGCCACAATGAACTTTTTGTTAGCTTTCCAACCAAATCTGAAATATTATTTAAATTCTGAAATATCAATCCACTTTGTATGTTAGTTGAAATAGGAAGCCTAAGACAATTTCAGACTTTTTCTTTTGTCATTCTTTCCAGTTGACCCCTAAGAAACAGCCTTTCTGAGGAGGACGAACAGCCCACAGATGCTTTTCTTCCTCTGGCAATTGATTTTTTTCTTTTTGCAGATTTAATTTTTTATAGTACAAGGTAATAAATCCATTTTCTCTAGTAGTGCCTTGTGTCTGCAAAAAGTTCTTCAAGACCACCAGAGGAAGCTAATGAGTGACCTTTTCCCACCTCCTTTGTAGCTTTCCCCCTTCCCCTCCCCCCTCAGAGCTGAGGTGTGTCACTGCTGTGCAGAGGCTGATGAAGAGACCTGAGTCCTGTCTGGGATGCTCAGCCGTGACAGAAGCTCTGCTGCCACCTCCCGAAGCCGATCCGAGACACTCGGGTGCAGAGTTTAACAGATGCTGGGCAGGGCACCGCCTTGCTGTAGCCAAAGCTGCAGAGGTCCCCTCGATTCCAAGCCATGAATGAGTCCAAGGGGCCTGAATGGAGGATCCTGAACCTGACCAGTGGCCTTGTGAATGTATCTGAGCGTCACTCCTGCCCACTTGGATTTGGCCACTACGGTGCCGTGGATGTCTGCATCTTTGAGACAGTGGTTATTGTCTTGCTGACATTTCTGATCATTGCCGGGAATTTAACGGTCATCTTTGTCTTTCACTGTGCTCCACTCCTGCACCATTATACCACCAGCTATTTCATCCAGACGATGGCATATGCGGATCTTTTTGTTGGAGTCAGCTGCTTGGTCCCCACTCTCTCACTTCTCCACTACTCCACAGGTATCCACGAGTCATTGACCTGCCAGGTTTTCGGATATATCATCTCGGTTCTAAAAAGCGTTTCTATGGCATGTCTTGCTTGCATAAGTGTGGATCGCTATCTTGCCATCACCAAGCCTCTTTCCTACAACCAATTGGCCACCCCTTGTCGACTGAGAATTTGCATAATTTTAATCTGGATCTACTCCTGCCTAATTTTCTTGCCTTCTTTTTTTGGCTGGGGGAAACCTGGTTACCACGGGGACATTTTTGAGTGGTGTGCCACCTCTTGGCTCACCAGTGCCTATTTCACTGGCTTTATTGTTTGTTTACTTTACGCTCCTGCTGCCTTTGTTGTCTGCTTCACTTACTTCCACATTTTCAAAATTTGCCGGCAGCACACCAAAGAGATACATGACCGGAGGGCCCGGTTCCCTAGCCATGAGGTGGATGCCGCTGGAGAGACTGGACACAGCCCCGACCGTCGCTACGCCATGGTCCTGTTTCGGATAACCAGCGTATTTTATGTGCTGTGGCTCCCCTATATCATTTACTTCCTGCTGGAGAGCTCCCGGGTCTTGGACAGTCCGACACTGTCCTTCCTAACAACCTGGCTGGCTATAAGTAATAGTTTCTGCAACTGTGTAATATACAGCCTTTCCAACAGTGTTTTCCGGCTGGGCCTCCGGAGGCTGTCCGAGACCATGTGCACGTCTTGCATGTGTCTGAAGGAGCAGGACACACGGGACCCCAAGCCCAGGAAACGGGCTAATTCCTGCTCCATTTGAAGAGAGCTGCACAGTAAATCAAGTGTAATCTGACACTGGTTTGGGATCGCGGTCTTGATTCACCTGGAAACTTGCCACTGGAGAAGAGAAATATTTACCAGAATAGTTGACTATGAGATGAAGGGACTGAGGGTTTCTGCCCCCCCCCTTTTATGGAGGAAAAAAAATAAAGAAAAGGATGTATAGGGAGTAATCTCATGAGACAGTTATAGCATGTGAGTATAAATGTGCAGTAACAGGAAAAAGTCAGCACTGGGGGGACCCAAGTATCTCAGATCTTCCACCGGATGCGAGCACAGCCCCTGGTGTCTGTCTGACCGAGCTCTCACCTCTGTCTTTGTCTCTCATTCTGTCTCTCTCGCTCCCACTGTGTTTGTGGAAATTACAGCAATTGCTCTCTATAGAGAAATGCTACATATTATATATGTGGCAAAGTGTAATCTTTGGCATTAGAGTGTGCTTTAGCACACTGACCTGGAATTACTAAGTGGTCCTCACGGAGGATGCACAGTAAGCGTTGTATGTTAGTACCAGCCGCACACCCCCTTTGCTGGTGTTTTTATACACTCTGCAGCACAAAGTTTCTGCCCCGAGCAAAAAGAAACAGTGTTTGTATTTCCCCAGGGTAAAATCATGTTCCCCACCCCTCCTTCCGACAGCCTGCTGTGTTTTTCTTCATCTGCATCCTTTGGTACCTTAATCCAGAAGTGTCTTAGATAATGAAAGAATCTACTGTATAAAGCAATCATAATGTTAAGTAATTTATTCCTTTCAACAAAGCAATCAGTAGCCTGTTTGATACTGTGTTATATATTTTTAATGGCTTTTGGAAACACTTTTTTCTGGTTCATTTTAAGTTCTTTCATGTACCCAAAGTGGTGTCCTTTTTGCTGTAGTAAAGCTTTGTTTTCCTCTAAGACAATCTACAGATAATTCTCATCAGACGCAGAGCGCTCAGCCAGAAGAGAGGCATCCCTCTCAAAGCTATTTGGTGTGTCTTTTTTTTTTTTAAGAGTAAAATATTGACCTTTTTATGTTAGGTCTACAAAACTTAACTGTTCTGTCCACTAATCATTTGTGTGATACATGTTTCTACACACTATATTTTTTACAACAAAGAAAATGTAAATTATATAATCTGTGCCTAAAGTTTTCTTAGCACAATATATAGATCAATGTTGCTCAAGTCACCAACATTGGAAAAAATATACAAAAACTTCTTTTAAGAGAAAAATACTTTTGTGTAGCTGTTATTTATTTATATTAGACCAAGCTGCATTCTTAGGGCTGCTGAGAATATAATATACTTAATTATGAAATACAGGTAAGAGCTTTCAGTATTTTCTTTTGTAATGATCTGTTTTCATATTCAGAGGTTAAATGAGCTTATTTTTTAGTGTGCTCCATAGAATCATGTAATAATCGTCAGGGGTTTAGATGTAGCAAAAGGCACTGGGAATTAGCAGTGCAGCAGATGTGAGTGGTTAAACATCTAAGTCTTACTTTTTTACCATAGTTTTCCTGCCTGACTGATATTTTGAAATTTATATCTGACTACTGAGTATTTTCTTTTGATTTGCTTGTTTTATGAGATGCACTGGTGAACTGTGCCCACGGAAGCCAGCCTCACCGCACACTGCAGCTTGACTTCAGGGGCCTTCAGCGGAGATGTCATTGTTTTGTTAAGGTGGTTCTGAGCCCCTGTATATTTTTAAACTTGTAAGAAAGGTCTAAAATAAATAATAAAATAGTATTCTATATATCAAAATCAGACTTGGCTTCAGTTTAATAAAATAACTTCACTTGCAGCAAGAGTTTACTTGTTTGGGATGGAAATTAAACTGTTTCACATTTCTGTGGTTTGGGTTGGTCACATTAATTCTTGTCCCGTTTGCCAGTGGCATCTTGGAGAAGTTGAAATGTGCCATTTAGGTTTTAGACCAGTTCAAGGGAAACGAAGTTCAAGGAAACACAGTAGTGTAACTTTTCAGTCATCATAAACAGGGCCTTCAGCGTGTGTCGTGTGCAAGTCAGATTTCTAGAGTGTGCACACACAGCTAGAAAAGACGCCCGGCTAGTAGACCCCCGGACAGGAAGCCTGAGGCCACATTTACTGCATTTTCCGCCTCTGGCTTTTCCTCATAATAATCAGTAACAACATTTCTGCTGTATTAAGTTTTACATGTAACATTTAATGCTCTCTATGACCCTTTGAGACAGCTGCTGTTATTTCCATTATAGAGATGAGGAAACTGAATAATCGTGACTCATCCGGGGTCACTCAGTAAGGTCAGTGGCAAAGTTTCAGTCACCCCGATTTGGGCCGGAGCCAAAGCCCGTGCCCTCATACCGCTTTTCTCCCCACAGCCTTCGAACCTTTGTACCTCTCTCTGCCTTCTCCCTACGAAATTTCTCTTCTTTCACCTAAATCTTTTGCTTCACTTCTTTTTTTTTCTTGTGATGTCTTTCCCCTCAATCTCACAAAGCTCTTTGACGAACACAGCAACTTTAATAAGTGCAAATGTTCCCAGTGAGTCTGTAATCAGACTGAAACCTGGGGCGTGGCGTTCCCTTGACGGGACTTTTGTTTGTTTTTGTTGTTTCCTTGAATTGCTTTTTAAAATCTCTGGAAGTTTTTCATCGAAAGACGTTTTCTTGAAGGAGGGTAGAGAAGGGAGGCTTGACTGTAGACCGAGAGGGGCCAGGCCTCTGCGGGGCAGGCCCCAGGGTTGGGCCTCCATTTATTGCCGTGTTTCCTGTGTGGCTCTAGAGTAAACCACTTGACTCCCTTTGGACAAACTTTAATACGAGTTTCTGTAATAAGGTAGCACTTATTTGGAAACTGCCCTGTCTTTTTTTAAATGGGTGGGTTTCAAGAACAGAAAACATAGCCATTATTGTCGTGATTACATTGTGTTCTGGTAATTATCCAGTTTGATTACAAATGACAGCCCAACAGTAGTGCTCTAGCTTGTCACTGTAGGCTCTGTTATCTGTGGAGTCCTCTGTAGAGTTACATAACCTTGGAAGGCTTCACAGCCTACCACTGTGGGAGACCTGGATGGAAACCCAGCCCTGCTAAGCTGCTTAGCTTCAGGTAAAATACTGAATGGTCCAGGCCCTCAGTCTTCTCATCTGTGGAGCCAAGGCTCGTACCTTCCCGTTGGGCTGGGTCAGAGGAGTGAACGCGAGGATGTCGTCTGTGTGCTCAGCCCGACGGCGGCACATGGTAGCTGCTGTTGTAGTTTCTTTGTGGCGTTCATGTTTATCGCCATCACAACTTGAATACCACTAATTGTAGTGTAAGAAAATTGTAGTATGTTACAACGAAGTTAATCCACTGAGTATGAGTTTTCTAAAATAGCATTTTTTTCATAAGTCTGTTTAAACTCTTTGGCTTAAACTCAGATGTTTTAACTACAGGAAACTTCCATGATTTCTGAAAATTCATTTCCCATGAATAATATTCAGGAAGACATCATTTAACCTGAGAGATATCCAGCAAGTGGATGTTGAGATGAAACAGGGATGATTTTGAGATTCACATACCTCCTTACTTTTTTTTTTTTTGTATTACATGTGCTTAAATTAAACATTTGTCTTACATTGGGTCGATGATAATAGGAAAGGATTGTTCAGGAATGCTTTGCCATTTGTCTTTGCATTTTAGTTTTCCTCACTAAAATAGCATTTAAGGTGTTGTATAAAGACAAGTTACCTGGAAGAAATAAAGATGAATAGGCCAATTCGTGCTACATACATCATTTATTATGTGAATGTAGACATAAATGAAGATGTTGCCTTAAAGGGCCTGCCTCTGTCTCTCCCCACCCTGAGAACCAATCATTAGATGTGAAAAAGGTACCAGTATGTGATAAACAGGTAAAGGAGAGCAAGATGTGGAGAAGTTGCTGCTGTAACATGCTGAGCAGAGCATCCCTGGTATTCAGGTTGGAGCTGTGCAAGTACACAGGAGCTTATGTTACTGCGGATGCTCCATTTGGATGTGTAGGTTCCAACAGCTGCCCTTTTCTCTGAGAAAAACTGTTTTAGATTGAGAAGGTCATGTGCAGGAAGTGGTGTCCTCTACAACCAAGTGCCTAGGCATCGGGGAAAACAAAATGACCAGGAAAGAGAAAATATTTTCCTTTTCAGTGTTCCTTGGAAAGAAAGCTTTACCCAGCGATAGTTTTGTTCTGCAATTTAAAATAGTCATAACTTTTTTAAATAGTAAAAGTGATTGTCTTTTAAAATATTGGAAGTGAAGTGATTAGATATTAATACTGTTTTAAATTTATTTATTATTAAAATTCATTTTCACAAATATTGGGATAGCTTTATGATATGAAATAACTACAGTGTGTTATTTTTTTAATTGATTTGAAAGAGAGGGAGAGGGAGAGATCGATATTTTGTTGTTGTTCCACTTACTTACGCATTCATTGGCTTATTCCTGTGTGTGCCCTGACCAGGGGTCAAACCCTCAGCATTGGCATATGGGGATGATGCTGTAACCAACCGGGCTACCTGAACATCAAAACTCTTATTTTTTTAAATAGTTAGCAAGAGAAAATTGTTTCATTAAAAAGGATGCTGTCTATTTTTTAAATATTTTGACATTTCACAAAACAATGTTTGTCGATTCTGTAACTAACATATCCAACTTTGTCTTAATACCATTTTGCTTTGAAGATAGTTTATATAATTTTCTGACTTTTATAATATTTGTTATTTTAGGTAAATTTGCAGAGAAATTTGATGACCTACTTACGATATCAGGTGTTCTTGACTTATTTTTGCTGGAACACAATTGGTTTGAAGTATTATCTGCTGCATCAGAAGCAGCTCTCAGTCACTAAGGGTTTTTGCTGCACCGTTGACGGCGCCTCCTAGCATCTGTGTCCACGTCTTTAGCAGGAGGGCGACCCTGCACTAGGGCAGTGGGGTCGGTCTGGCGTGATGACTGTATTTCATAGATCGTGACAAGATTCTGTTTTCAGCCTTCCATCTCAGGAGATCGTATCTATAACTTTTAATGGTGACTTTGTTCTACTTTTGTGTGTGGTTTCCCATGAAGGAGAAGGGAGGAATGGAGGAAGTGAACAGTAACAAATTCAGCGGGATTCTGGTGTGTCTGGGAGACACTAGACATGAGAGACATGCCTGATACCCTCCACCACACTGGATGGGACCAGGCTAGTTTCTGAGATTCTAAAAGTTGTAGATGATAAGTATCAAGAAACATAGTGCAAAATGCTAGAATTCATTGAATGGAAATATGTGCTGAAATTCTAAAATTTCCCTATCTGCTACTTTATACAAGAGAAATCACTTTTATCTCTGACTTTAGGAATCTGACTCCAATTTTATTTTATATTTTCCACTTAAGCAAGTTTAAATAAGGTTGATGCCAGTTAAAAGTGTCCAATTATTCTTTGTAAATTCAAAGTTGTGGCATTATTTTAGTTGAGAGGCCTACAAAAAAAATCAAACACAAAATTATATAACCTGTTTCTTATAGTTTGAAGTGTGTCTTTGAATGCAGTGCAGACTGTAGCTTGAGCTGGCTGTGCCCTTGTCTGGGATTAAGCCCGGCACAAACCATTGTCTGTGGGTGTGCTCTGTGTGAAGCGCAGTTTTAAACGCTTCTGCTGCTAATAGAGTTTGAAGTGTAAGATAGGTATTATTGGATCATATATTTTATACTGATAGCCTCTTCATAGTATTCATTTACTCTTCGGGAGTCTTATAATAAAATGCTAAATTGGTGAAATTGATATTATAGATGATGTAGAGGAGATTAAAAGATAATTTGTGAAGATGCCAATAAAAATACCCTGGAAATCCTGGTTTTAATGTTTTCACAAGTTAAATTATACTTCGATTTTTCTTATATATTGTCAAGGAAAAGTTGATTCAGAATTAGGTTTCCAGAATTGCTTGAAGTTTTCAGTTACAAACTATAGTGTAGTTCCTTGTCTGCAAGAAAGCAACTACTTCATAATGTATATCTAGGTTTTGGTGAAATGTTCTTCTTGCTGTAGGTTAGATTGTAAA